CCTATAGATTATATAGGTATATACCTATATAGATATCTATAGATAGTTTGAAGCCTAGTTCTAGAGTCTTAGATGGATAGCAATAATTCTAATAACGACGCTAACGACTCCTCTGACATGAATGGCAGCACGAAAGAGTCTTCTAGGGACCCTCCTAGCTGGGATGAAGATGATGGAACAGGTTTGGTGAAGGTATACTGGGCATTTAGACTCTTGCAGCAGGAGTTTGATGAGAAGTTCCGCAAGGTCTGGGCTTGAGTAGTAGTCAAGTACGAGTTTTCGTGTGGAAATGATGGAAACGACGGATTACTGGAATTGCAATCAACGAAGTGTGAGTAGCTTAGAACAATGAAAAAACACAGTTTGTGGGTATAACTTGATGGCTTTGTCTCTCAGTTCGAAGCCCCCTTCTATCAAAACACTAAGTTATTTGGGGGCACGTTTCCCCGGATCACTGATGGCCAGCCGTGAAATCGACGGAGAATAGGCATCCAGCAGAAGAAATATCTCCAGCTCGAAGAGTGAAGACGGCTGTGGTGGATTATACACTCTTGTGGCTTTCACCTTGCTGGTTTTTTACAGTATAGTTCCCTAACACCTTGAGAGCCTGAAGCGTCCAACCTCCAAGGCAAATGTCTTTGAGTTACTTTCCATCTAGTCATTACGAAAGGGTTACCAAGCTTGTCACATCTAGGATACAATCATTCAACGAGACTAATCCGTAGTTGTAGTAAACCCAGCCTCGTCCATCAGTCGCTTCCGCTTCTGTGCCATCCGCCCCAACCGTTCCTCCCAATATTTATCTCTATCGTGCCCGTTTCCACTTCCATTGGGACCCTGTTGAGTCAAAGTCACGTACCCACTCGCCGCGCACCCGTCGATCCAGAACATTGTGTCTCGCGGTATGAATGGCGGCCATTGCTGACCCCACGCATCCCCAAACGTTGCCGACTCGGCGAGAATGATATCGTCGTGAAGTGTATGAAGCCATTCGTGAACTGCCACTACCACCTCACCCAACGTGACGAACGGTTTCTGCTTGGCGTCGACATGTAGCTTTGGCGGATTTTGATAATATCGCCAGGGGTGGTCTTGACATTCTTCGTCGATGCAATATTCGCTGACCTCGTTTCCGTCTTCGTCTAGCTCGAACTCGTGCTGTTCGGAGATTCTGTGGCACACAGATTCAAACTCTTTCAGGTGGTCAACCTCGACAGTAAGGCCAGAAACGAGGGGGTAGCAGGCGGGCAATGAGGCGATTGGATGAAAGGTTTGCGAGACTCCATCGGCGCCAGGAAAAACAAATGGTTGCCTCTTCGCGTAGGTCTCCTGAGGAGATGCCGTGGGATCCAAGACTCGTATGTCGCTCAGTGGCCCGGGGAAGGGCCAGACGAGAAGCTCATTTTCGGGGCACCCCTGGGGCTTCCGCAGTTCAAATTCCTCGGACCGGGGGAGAGTTGTATTTTCAGTGATGTAAGAAGGGTCATAGATGATGTCGGTGCCAGGCGGCGCTGTGATGGGTATCTTCGTTGAATCCATGCATGAAAAAGCCACGAGGGAGTCTGGCGCTACTTATATGACAACGACGACGACGGTAATGAGGATGGAATGGGCGGTTTAAATAAGAATCAATCGACTCAGGGGACCATCGCTCCCTACGCTGACCGGGTTCGGCCATTCCACTTGCCTATTTGAGACCCATGTCAATGCCCAATTTTGGTCTTCCGGCGTCATGCACCCTACCAACCACATCCACTCTATGTTAGGGAACCGGATACAGCGAATTCCTCTCGCCTAACACCTTACATTAAACACCCCCATAGCCTCTTCGAATAACCAAGGAGACATGCTAGTTGACCGTTAATAGGCATGGCCGTTCACCACATAGGATAAAGTTCTATAAGGTCTGGGCTTAAGTAGGTGGCATATACAAAATCATATGTAGCGGGAATGATAGAGATGACAGATTATTGAAAATGTAATTGACGAGACGATATATAGTACAGAATAGAGACAGAATACAGTCAGTATGGTTTCATAAGCCGCGATTGGTGCCCCCCTAGGTTATTCATGTTTTTGGAGATATTCCTGAGACCTGAAGTGACCCTTTTGGAAGCTAACATAGCATGCGACACGAGACTTCACATGAAGTCTGCACTCATCAAATATTTACTCCATGGTCCCAGTTGTTAACCTTGAAGAATGCGCCAGGGCTTTGTCATCTTCACAGGAGAGGCAAGTCATGTATGTTCTGCTTCTTGAAGAGCCTCGCCCAGCTCGAAATAAGTTTATTGTGATAAAGAATACGTCTGTTGTTGAAACAGAACAAAATGAAAGACCACCGTGGCAACCTTTGAGATGCAACAGTTTCAATCAAACAGAAAGGTATGAAGGCCTTCGTGTGCGAGCCAACCGTGCGGGAAAACATCTCCCCAAAGAGTTCAAGATTTGCAGCGAGCGTCTGGACTCATCTTCACTCCCAAACTTCTCCATCCATCCCATCAATATCCCATGCACCTGAAATGCACCAGCAAGCATGCTTCCCACAATTTTCGACCCGTTCTATCCATGAATTAGAACCTGAAGACCTCAATGAGAATCACCAGCTTTCCTTATTCACGGCCCACAGCTTCAGGTTGCCCAGGTAGGAAGGCCGGGGCTCCCGCCTACCCTGCAAAAAGGCCCACGGCCAGAGAGAACCCCGGAACACCCGCCAAAAGGCATCCGATGTCCAACGACGGGCGTGCTCTGCAGATTCCACACATTCTTCGAAGCGTCCGGTCCGAGGGATGTCAACACTCAGGCAAAGCCCCAGCTTGCCTCAAAATCCCTCCCTCGACCGGTGAGTGGGCTGAAGGGAGTGGGCGGAAGCGGTAGAGCACAACCGTATTGGACGCCGGATGCCTTTTGGCAGGGTTTCCCGGGTTCCCTCTGGTCAGGGCAGTACTAGTCCGTTAATATGCTCCTGCGTTGACCGGTGAAAGAGACTTCAACGACGCTTAAGCACCGACGAATGCTCTCCCACCGACACAGGCGCAGTATAGCCATTGGTTGGGGGAGGGTTTGGTACGTTACCGTGTGGCCAAGACACTTCAGACAGGCTCAGTGGTAGTAGGCTCGATGATGCCCATGTTTTGCATCACCCTTTTCGCGGCGGCTTCGCCCGCCTCCTCGAAAACAGCCCCGACGAGGGCTTCAACAGTTGCGGATTTATTGTCGTTGGAGACAAGTCCGCCATGGAAAGGACTGACATTGATCCATTGCGTTAGACCAATGTTGTCGCAAAGAGCTTCGAGCCGTGAATCGCAGGCGAGCTCAGAGACGCGCATGGTGGCTTGACCTACTGACTATTAGCTTGCTGAGGCACGTCGGCGTTGTAGATTTGCTTTGCGGTACCTTTAGTGCGGCCGGCGCGGTATTCGTCGCGGATGATGACCAAGCCGACAATCTTGTCACCGATCAAAGCCAACATTCTGTTTTTCTCATGCACTGGGAGACCACCAATGTGGGTCACTAGGGACCCCTTCCCTTGGAGGGCCTCCCACAAGCGGTCACGGTCTTCAAAAGTGTAGCCAATGATGGCCATCACCTCGTTCTCCTTCTGCGTACGGTTGTACAGAAAGTCGCCCATCGTTCAGTGATTCGTGGTCAAGAGAAATGGCATGAGGGATAGCAGGGGCAAAATAAAATCTGCAGGATGAGTGGGATTGAAGAATATTGCAGACGACCTTAAGGGAAGGCAGGGCTCATTTATATTTTGGCCCATGAGCTCGCCACTGACCGGCGAACCAGTTGCCCAGCCACCGTGATGCTCATTCCTCCAAATGTCTCAGACTCGCATGCCCCCCAGCCCTCTTGCCAAGCAGGGCGACAGTCTACCGGAAATCATGATTCCTTTACTTGAAACAACGCAGGCGGGAAACCCGACTCCTGCCTTGCGTGTGTGTGCCTTGGAACGATCGATCTAGCCGTGGTTTCCCGGCTTCAAGTGCATTCCACTTGGTGTATGCTGTCGCGCAAGTATGCTTCTTCGCAGCCCGCAAACTGATGCAACCAGTGGCTGGAGGGAGAACCTCTGCGTCTCAGACTTCAAGTGTCGATTGCAGTGACTGGTCTTCGTCCTTCGCAGGTTAGTCGCCGCAATGACATAACGGGCGACACTCATCCAATCCAACCACAATCGGCCAACGGAGCAATAACTTCACTGAAAGGGGGCAATGATGGCATTCCGAGGCAGTTCTATTCATGGTCTCTCTAACTATTTGCATGGGCAAGCGAGGCTCGCAGCCCGTAAACGACAGAATGACGATGAGGCGCGGGTTCCCAATCTCGACGCCGCAAGTCGCGACGTCTTAGCTGTCTCCTTCCCGAGGCCGAGCCAATGCACCTACATCTCTTTCGATACGCACATCTGGTTGGATCGTTAGCGACTGTTCCAAGCCAAGTCTGACTCCGTCAAAAAAGATACAAAACAACCCTGTAGGTCATACATCCAAGGAAGGTTATGCGCTCATCGTACGTCTCAAAGGCTCGAGTGACGTCTTGCGTGGAAACTGCGAATAAGGTGGAACATTTAATCATGTAAAGGGAGGCGTGCTGCGAGATGGAATGAAATTTCTTGGTGACTTACCGACCCGGCTTGACGCTCTGAGGGCAGCGTGCGCTCTCAGAACGGGTGATGGAGAAGAGAGAAAAACTGAGGCTCAGAAAATTTCGCGTTGAAGAGATACTGTTTTTTTTTTTGTCTTTCGGTGGGTCCTTTTCGCGCTGGCCTGTGCGCTTCGCGATCTCACGTGTGGAGTGGGGACAGATAAACGGCTCGAATTGGCCACACCTGTTCGGGCTGGAGGCACGTAACTCCGGAGTACGTACTCACTCATTGAATGACGTTGATTCTCGATGTTCAACCTCTGTTCCCTGCCAGCTAACTCAGTCAGCATGAGCCGGAGGTATGGCTTGAAATGAGCTGATGGATGGATTTGCGATTGGTTGGCATGATTTCTCTGCACGGTCACCACTCCTTTGCGGAGCAGAGAATGTCTTCACCATGGCAAACAAACGCGTCATCTTCAGCGTCGACATGAACATCACGACGCGTCTCAGTGGAAGCTGGCAACACTCAAGTAAAGTAGGATTCCAATCTAGTTGACATCGTTTCCAGGGTCATTCATGCCCTTCCTTCTCTGTCTCAGAGCAACATACAGAAACCAAGCCAATCCGTGTCCGCCCTTATCATACATACAAGCAAGCAAGCCATCCCAAAGTCTCAAATTCAATGCATGGGGAAGTCGTAGGCGCCGGCGACGTTGCGGTGGGAGCCATCCTCGTACGACTGACCAAAGATAGGCTGCGGCTCGGGGATTGGAACGACCATCAGGTCCAGGGTGATGGCCGCCTCTCTTCTCTTCCAAAGTCGGTCGATCTCCTTGTCGTCTTGCGTGAGCAGGAACGGGCACTTGTGGCGCGCGTCGTTGAATTTGCGGCGCTCGTAATCGGCGCGCATCTTGTGGATGTCGTCCGACATGCGGGTCTTCATGACCACGGTGGTAGTCTGCTCGAAGTGGTCGTAGTCGAGCAGCTGACCTCGAGGGATTTCGCCGGTTGCTCCCTCGGCGGCGGGAAGGGGGTCGACGAACAAGTCAGTGACGGCGGCAGGAGGTTTGAGTGAGTTGTTGTCGACGCTGTTGTGGCCGGCGGTGTGAGGTATGGCAACGTTGTGGTCGATAGAACCGAAGTCAGTATTGCCATGCTGGAGCGCGGTTCCAGAGCCGATGTCATTGGGAGAAAGCTTGGGCTCGAAGTCGCTCTCGGAAGGCAAGAAGGCGCTGGGCGATACATAAGGAGAGGGCGAATTCTTGGCGAGGGCCTCCATGTCGTCCTCGAAATTCATGCCGTCGTAATCCAGGCCATCGTACTTCTGCGGCTCGAAACGGCTCATCGAGTGGTGGTGGTAGTAGTCGATCTTGTCAAGACGGTGCTGCTCAAGCTCCTGCAGCTCTCGGTGCTGGGACGCAAGCTTCTCTCGCTGTGCGTCGCGATGCTCTGTACCTTGCTGGAACGACTCATGATCTTTCTGTCGCTGTTGCTCTTCCTGGTCGGCGTGTTGCTTGTCCTTCTCCGCCTTCTTCTCAGCGTCCTTCCGGGCCTTGGTAGCAGCGGCGGACTTTCTTCGCTTCGCACGGCAATCATCGCAGTGGGCGAAGTACTCGACGTTGCCCATGGAGCGTCTGCTGAAGAAAGACGAGGAGGGGAAGTCCTTCTTGCACTTGGTACACTTTCGCTGGCCCTCGGGGCTGGCGGATCCGGAAGCGGCAACAGCGGTGGCGGTGGAGGCGGGAGAGGGAGCTGGACTCGGAGACGAAGCGACAGTCTGAGAACGACCGAACGGGCTGGAAGACGGAGCAGATGGAGTGGATGCCTGGCCAGACGGGAGGCTCGCGTTCAGAAGGACATCTTGAGGCGCAACGGTCTGGGGGACGCTCCGAGGAATGTCGCCTTGCAGATTACCGGGCAAAGCTATCTTCGAAGGCTCAGGCGAGCCGAAGAGCGAGTTGTCGGCGTCCATCGTGATGTATGCGATATTCACTGACGTGGTGTTGTGTGTGGGAGAGAGTGGTGGATGGGAGAGCCCTTGAAATATCTTGACCTCGTGAGGTGAATATGGAAGAGTTAGAAGTCTTGGCGAGAAGCAAACTTCAAGAAGGAAGGTAGGAGTAACTCAAGGTAAGCGCGAGTGAGAACTTCAGCTGTCCAGTTTCTTTCACCTTTTGTCGTCTGATCACGCGCACTTGCGGTTTCTAGGGCTCCCGCGATTCTTCGAGGTACAATATCAGTGTGGGTTTCTTTGACTAGAGAGGCTTCGGGTTGACAAATCACCAGCCTAGAGGAGAAAGACAACACATTTGACGCGTTGGCTAGACCTTTCTATGGCGATAATTATATGAAAGACGCGGGGTGGGCAATTTGAAGCAGTTTCTATGCCCCTACGGAGGGCCCAATAGAGGGCTCTTTCCCATTTGGGTGAAAGTCCAAGTGAGAAGGTGAGTTGCATTTTGGCCAGTGAATGGCCCTCAGAGCCAATAGAAGTCTCCGCCTAATTTTTCATCAGTCATTCAAAACATAAGGTGCGCCTCAAAACGATCTTCTCAGCAGCATCACCTTCATCTGCCACTCCAACATCGGCAGCAACATCTATTGCCCACCTGAACCAGCCTTCGAAAACCTTTTTTCCTTGGAAGTCTTTGCAGTCTCCATCTTCGCAACGCTCTAGTTGCCCACGCCTGCCTCAGATCTGCCCCCTTCGCGAATGAGAAACATGGCCTCGAGCCCTGGTCTTCCGACACCGGCGTGGAATCCGGGCTGTGAGCGCATGAGGGAGTTTATGGGGAACGACGACCTTCTGAGTCTGCTCGAGCCATACGTGAGTAGACGACTGGTACATATCCCCTTCGATCACTAACTTTATTCTAGATCCACGACAGGCACCATCTTCACTCGCTGTGTCTGGTCAACAGGATGTTCAACGCTGTCTTTTCCCAATCTCTCTATGAGCATCTTGTCGTCAAACATACCCACATTCATTGCATCGAACCCGACTCAGAAAACTTCGAAGCCCTTCTAAACAGCCCAAGCCTTCGATACACACGAAAGCTGTCGCTCCTGCAGATGGACCAGCTGAACTACACCCGAACAGAAGCCGCCGCCAGATACGGCCCCATACTCAACGGAGCAATCTGCCAGATCGTGAAGCGGTGCCCCGATCTACGCCAATTCACTTTCTCTGCACAGTCACGTGCTTCGTGTGAACGCCTGGAGGAATACTTCGTTTCGGCGGAGACGCTCGATTGCCTCCATAGCTCCTGCCCAATGCTGCAATCTCTCTCACTCGAGCAGGCATTCCCTCATGCCCCTCACCGAGGAGGCATTGGCCAGCGTGTCCAGGATGTAGTTGGCGTCATGCGATTTCCGGAGTTCTCGAACCTCACTACCCTGCATATGATGGGCATCAGGTGGAGTGCGTTGTGGTCGGAGTGGATAGCTGGAATACTGTCGTCGAAACCGCAGGTGGAGGAACTGAGCCTGTCAATGCGATCTCCGATATGCAGAAGTATCACCTGGGATTTGGAAGCCTACTGCAACTGGAGTGATTTCTTGATCAGCCTAAGCAGCGACTACAAAGCGCTAGGGAAACCGCCCCTCAAGCTTCGCAAGCTGACGCTCCACAACGATATCGGCTTTGTCGTTCACACCCAGCCAAGCATCGGATACATCAAATCCCTCACCGATCTGGAGGTGCTCGAAGAACTTCGCATTTTCAACAATCACCGGTACCCTGACGAATCGATGGTGGCTCCGCCTCACCTAAGAATGCTGTCGATGCCATACAGATCCATCACGTACGACACAATGCCACGGCTCCGCAAATTCTCGTTCGACAACATGGACGGCGACATCATGGAATGGCTCATCCAAGTGGCAGAGACGCCCTTCAAAGACCAACTTACCCTCTGCAATGATGGAGTTGACTACTGGGAGGCCGGTGCCGAGCTCTTCGAAGCTGTTTCCCGCGCGCGAGCCCGGAAGAGAGCTGAAAACCCGTTGGACAGCTTCACAGCAAGCGACTTGGCGTCGGTCTTACGACCGATTCATTGGATTCATGCTGACTCTCCCATTGTGCCCGACGTCTTGAGTGAATGTTTCGGGTTCCCGGGCAGGCTAGGAGTAGGTGATTCCAATCATCTAAGCCTTACGAACCCTCATCGGCCGGGAGAATGCACATGGGTCCAAAGCATGCGTCTTTTCGTCGGAAGTGCAGACCTGAACATGCCAGAGTTACTTCTACTTCTCGACGGAATGGTCACGATCGAAAACTTGATGATCGTCAGCTACATGGCAGACCATTGGGAGAACTTTGCCCACCCATGCGACTATCCAACGTGGGAGGCAAACGCTCGGAGGATCGCTATCACGTTGCCGAGCTTGAAATACCTGAAGATAAACAGAGTGTCATGGAGATTACAGCGCTCGCATCACGACAATGAGATGGTGGCGCAGAGACTGAGTGTGGCAGAGGACGAGATGCTCGGCAGATTTCCGCCGCTCAGCGACTTGCCAATTTACGCCAACGTTTGGAGAGGCTGGAGAAGATCGGTTATAAGTCCTGGCTTGATCTGTGATTCTGAGAAACAAACCTCAGAATAGGGTTCAAGCAACAGCAAAAATGAACAGATACCAGGACTAGGGTGCGGAACGAGTGTTAGAGAATGGGATCTCAAGCCGCCCCGTTTCTATTCATACACCAAGTATGATTGAAATACAAAGGAAGGGAAAGAGCGTCACTCGTTAGTCCGGAACTAGATAGGCACAATGGATTGCGATACCTGAACAAAATGAATGCTGAACATGATTCTAATCGACCGCAACAAAAGCTTGGTTTTGGTTTCCCACCTGCATGAGGCCGCAAGGCGGGCTTGCCCTACACCGACTTTAATATACCACGAGCACCGGCAAACTCCAACTCATCCATCGTTTCAATCCATAGCCGTTCTGTGACATTCTTGCCTTCTTGTGTGTAAAGGAAGGCAGCAAATCTAAAACGTGTAAGCAATCTAAGCAGCCGACGAGGGTAGGCTGTGTCAACTTACGGATGAATATTCCAGCTCATCAGAAAGCATCCATGGGATTCTTTCCCCTTATTCACCACAGCATCAACAAAGCAAGAAGCGCCGACCCTCGGGGTTCTACCCGTTGCCCCAAAGGCCCAAAGACCCCACCTCAGGAAGCCGGGTGCATCTCGGCCTAAGGCAGTGCCCCTGCACCAGGCTGGATCTGACAGGTTGACGATAACGTCGTCGGCAGAAACAATTTCGGCAAGCTTCCACAGGAACATGTGAGCTAGAAGCTTGGACGAGTTGTATGTTTCGGAGCTGAATGTCTTGGGGTCGTCAAAGGACGGTAGCAGGGGTTTGGCATCCCTGTTGGGGAAGCTTGCGGCGAGCGTCAATGCAGCGTTGACGATGGTTAGGTGCGCAGGGTCGCTGTCGGGCTTACGCTTAGCCTTCAGGACGGGCAGTAGAAGGACGGCGAGCAACACTGTGGACAAGTAGTTGACCTGCAGTGTCTCCTCATGCCCGGTGCTCGGATTCTTGGAGAAGGACATCTTCATAATGCCGGCATTGAGAATGACGATGTCGATTCGAGGTAGATGGCTTTCAGATCGACGGGCAAATGCTTGGATGGAGTCATACGAGTTCATGTCGAGTTGCCATACGTCGATGGTGGCGCTAGGATGCTGCTTGCGGAGTTTGGCTGCTGCGTCCTCTCCCCTTTCGAGGGACCGGACGGCGAGGATCAAATGCGACAGCTTCAAGTCAAGCAACTGAATGGCTGCTTCGTAGCCAAGTCCAGCATTGCCGCCGGTAATAATGGCCGTTTGGCCTGAAAGGCTGGTGTTCGGAGCTGGCCACTGGGGCTTGGCGCAGAATTGATTGTGAAAAAAGACGCTGCCAAAGGAGGCTGTTGAGGGAGGGAGATCCTTAGAGCCCGTCATATTGAAACGTGTTGGCTTTTCGATTCAACGGTATGATAAACTGAGGAACAGAATGATTTTGTTGGAAGCTGTGTGTTGGTAGTGATGACTCGAAGACGAGGGGCTTGGGCGTGAATACTTATACCTCAAGGGCTGTCAAAGATGCCTTGGAAATCAATCGGAAATCAAGAGCGATTGGTATTCATCTTGACGAATGGACTTGAAAAGACTGCACCATCTTCCATTAAAGCCTTGCCATATCTCCGCCGACCAGTTTGTATACCCTTTTGGGAAACGGCCGCGATGTCAGCCGGAATGAGGCTATTCCTGATTTGGCATACAATGTGGTCGAGGGCATAAGAGCGATCAGCAGCTGGTACCCATCGCACAGGCAGTGGCGCTTACGTCTCTGTAATTCCGAATCCCGTCCGACAATACAGTAGCATTAATTGAGATAATCGGGCTTAAGTCATGATCTGCCCGATTCTCTTGATGAAACATTGTCAGATCATTAGAAATGTCAGCTCTCAAGAAGGGTCCTTCCCATATGTACTTTGACGAGAAGCGTCTGTGACATCTGACCTATACAAGAGCAAAGGTGCAACCAGATTCGCGCGGCCCAGAATTATTGCCTCGGAAGAAGGCCCATCAGCTGTCTCCCGCAATTCAACTCCGCCAGGGTGAGTTGACCGGGAGCAGATGGGGCGGGAAGGAGCTCGTGTGTTACAAGTGATATCGGCGAAAGAATCCTCGAAAGCTGGCCATACTGCCCCATGCCCACGGCAAGGAGAGGCTTAGGGTTTTGTGAAGAATGACTTCTTTCGAATAGAGCAAGCTCGTGGCAATCATAGACATCTGCGGAGAAAATGCTGAGCTTCATGATATCTATGGAGTCCGGATTAGCAGCTAAGGCTTTTTATGGAGCTGACGATTTAGGTGTGTTTACCTCCGAAAGCGTCCGCTGTGGCATACTTCTCCTGTAGGAGGTCACTCGTCCATCGTATATCACCAGTCCAATCATGGAACGAGGCGATGATCTTCGAGCTTCCTTTCTTCTCAACGACAGCGTTGATCATTTCAGGAGACCATTCGATCTCAACATCAATGTATTTGCACTGCTCTTCCACAGCCATGAGCATCAACGCCAGAGCCTCGTTCTCGGCGTCCGGAGGAAACTTGCCCCCTTGAGGCGCTGTGAGAATAGTAAAGAGAATAGGCATGCCAGACAGAGATCGAAGGAGTTTTATCTGAGCTTGGACGTAGCTCAGTGGCGGCAAGTTCGTGGTACCCAGAGGCTCACGAGAGGGGCTCAGGAGATCGACTCTCATTTCCCAAATGTCACCACCATGGCTGATGCGGGGAATATCAGCAGCACCAAGAGCTATGTCTGAATAAGTTAGGGGTATGATGAAGGTTTGTCGACGCGGATCATGGTTGTGATTATCGAAAATGATGTCCGCCATGACGGTGGTGAATACGTGTGCAAAGTTGATAGTGTGGTTGTGGAAAAGGCCAATACCTATGCGCTTCTTCATAGGTGGTGATCGTGTACTTTGGCAGTATTGATCTTTGAATAGACCTTTCCCCGCGTTTTGTTGGTCCTAATGCCGTTCAAATTCGGAGAAAGCTCATCGGGTGATGTCAACGCCGTCCACAACCCGGGAATAGCTTCCGTCCTGTCTCTTACAGCCGGCAAAGAAAATAGCCGTCACATTGAGATCCGCTATCATGTCTTGACAAAGCCAACTGACATTAATACTAGCGGCTAACGAGATCTACATAACATAGCTCGACTCATGTCCTAGCAAAAACGAGGGATTAATGCGTGGTTCTCACAATTGCAGTGGAAGTTTTCAGGGCCAAGCGTTGAATTTCTGTGATCGATCCAAGAAAGAGATCAATTGAACTGCAACTGAGAGCGCAAGATCTTATGACTTCCAGTTGCCAAACATATCCAGGCATGCGGTGGCTCAGGTGCCCGAGAAGCTGGCAAAGCTCCCGCTGGGATTGTTCAACATCCTATGAGCCATATAAAACCCTAAGCTTCATGGTGAGACGCTGCAATCTCCTTCTCGTCACGTCCCAAAGCATCAGCATGGCCATCCGCCCGACGCTGGTTGATAATCTCCTCAGTCTGTCGACGCCAAGTGCGAGGCATGCCCTTGCGGGTGAACAGTACGTCCATGTCTTCAAGAGAGATGCCCTTAGTCTCTGGAATGAGGAGGAAGGTGAAGACAAATCCAAACACCACAGAGCAGGCGAATAACAGGAACGTCCCATACGTGATGTCCGTCATCATGTACGGTGTCGAGTAGACAATTGTGAACTGGCCAAGCCACTGAGCACAAGTTGTGAAGACCAGGCAGATTGAGCGGATACCCATGGGGAAAATCTCAGCGCTGTGGGTCAAGGTTAGCAGGGCGCGAACTTAAAAGGGTCAGAGAGGATGTACCAGAAGATCCAAGGAATGCCGTTCCATGAGATGGCATAGAAAACGGCGAATATGTAGATCATTACGATAGCGACATAAGCGCCAGGTGTCCTATCGCCTGCAGACAACTGACCGGCCTCGAAAGATCCAGACAGCTTCGCGTATGCCCCGAGATAGAACAGGGCAATCGCGGCGCCGGTCGAGCCGATCATAAGGGATTGCCGGCGGCCGAGGGCGTCGACGCCCCATATCATGTAAAGCATCGTAGCAAATGCTTTGACAATGCCGAAAATGCCGGTAGCCAAAAGACCCACGCTAGTGCCAGTAAAGCCGATGGATTGGAAGATCGAGGGTGAATAATAGTTGAGAGCGTTGATGCCAGACCTAAAATGGCTGAAGTTAGTGCTCTAATAAGATAACACAATGACACGAAGAAGATCACCTACATGTTTTGGATGAACATTAGAGCGATGCCCAACAGAAGACGGCGTCTGTTTGTCGGGAGCTTGATCTCCCGTAGCTTCTCCAACAGACCCCTATTTGCGCCCATCGCAGTCTCCTCCTCGATCTGTTGTAGAACTGTGTTGATCTCCCAGTTCAGATATGGATGGTCGGCAGGTAGCTTTCGCAGGCGTTGCAGAACCCTTCGCGCTTGATCAGTGCGGCCAGCGTTCAGAAGCCAGCGAGGAGACTCGGGCTGAAGAAACATGCAGATGGACAGAAGGCTGCCAGGGATAATCTGCAGTGCGAATGGCACATGCCACTGGGTGTCAGAGCTTCCTGAAATATGTATGTTGACTCCGTAATTCACCCAGAAGCCGATGATCTGAGAGAATTGCAAGAAGATTTCGAATACTCCGATAAGGCGCCCGCGAATCGCAGGGGGGCCAGACTCGGAGATGTACACCGGAATGATCATAGACGAAGAACCAACGGCAAGGCCTGTAATTAGTTTAATGCGTCAGCTACCGCAATGACTTGGGATCGCATCGTGACCAACCTGTCAGAACGCGGCCAGCGTAAATGAGGGCCAGATTACCGCTGGCAACGAGCTGTAAGATCGCGCCAAGGTCGAAGAGCGCGCCGCAACCGATCAGAACCCAGCGACGGCCCAGCCGCTCAACCAAGTAGTAGCACAACAAGACACCAAAGAAGCAACCGCCCTGAAATGTGCTGACGATGTTGGCTTTGAGCGCAGCAAGGTCGGTGCCTGTCGATGAATCGAGACCGAATCGACTCTGAAAGGATGGAAGCGACATAGTGCCTCCTATGAACGCAGAATCGTATCCAAACATCGCCGACCCCATGGCTGCGGAAGCCGCCAGGCCATAGATCCTCCAGTTGTAGACCTCCGCCGGCGCGGGGTTGGCGGAGTCATCCTTGGGTCGCTTGAAGATGTTGACCATTGTCGCTGACTTCAATCGCGTGCGATACAAGCGGGCTATCAGACTGAAGAAATGACAAATGTGTCTCAGAAACCCGCCTATAATCGAAGAAGGCTGTCTCCGGGTGGGCTTAATATGAACATGAAGTGGGTTTATCCACTCTGTTTTGACGTGCTACCCCAGATCTTACCCCAGACATCCACACCTCTCTTCCCCAGCTTTTGGAGCAAGCGAAGGGTGAATATTCTCCCCTAATTCGAAATATGCACGATGACCAAGGGATTTGAAGAGGGGTTTTGAATTGGAAGAGTTCTTTCCCGATGCCAAGAAGCCAATCGGGCTATCACGCCAATGAAAGCCGAGTTGCTCTTTGATTGGAGATCCCATGATTTGGTCAGAGACGTATTGCCCAGCAGAAGGTGGGGTATGCCGAGCTCGCCAACAAATGTTATTCACACAGCCATGTCGCCTTATCTGCACATTATTGGATGATGGGAAAGGTGTCAGTAAGGGTCAAGTCTGACGGTTGTTTGTTAAGCCGGCACAGATTGCCAGTTAAGACCACAAGTTACATTGCATACAGTAGCGGTACATCCATCTCGAAAGCGAAGACACCGCAGGACCGTTACCATGGACTTGGACTCCAAGCTACAAAGTCAAATAATTTTCAATGCTTTCAAAGTGGAAAGTGGCAGTGTCTGCTCCATTTCTTTACCAGCGAGAGCATCTATATCAGGCTGTCTGGCACAACTCTCCATACATGTTCATAAACCAGTGCATGGGCCGTAGCGATGACGTGTGGATGACAAAAGAGTGGAAGGTTTCATTTAAGCTACGGAGCACTAGGAGCTACAGCTAACGTCGTTTTTCTTGCAGGTGTAAAGCCCACACATTGAGGGTGCCTTGCACAGGCCGCAGTTACCACCGCCCCAAGTACTCTCCATATCCGAGCCCTTGATTGTCTTGTTTTCAATTTGATAGCACACTGTGGATTCGTAGCTGTAGTCGACGCTGAAAATTTCAGGCTTCCAGCCGTCTGCCGCAGTATACTCAAAAGACCTCGCGTTGTTCTTGACAACGGCCTTGGCGCCGTTGTCGCACTCGAGCTCGAAGACGGTCTGGTCGCTTGCCCAGTGTTTCCCGCCGCCCGTCCGGCAGACTTCCACGCCGTTCTCCCAAATCTGGACATTGACGCTGTCCGGCTGGAACGCGCAGTTGCTCATGTAGACGTGAGCGGCCATGCAACGTGGTTTCGGTGCGGGAGCTGGCGGCGCTGGTGGCGCTGGCGCAGGCGTTGGACCTGGGACCTGCCACGTCGCACATCCAGCAGTTGTGATGGTGGCTTCACCGTGAGGGCCGCCGGTGATGGTCCAAGTCTCGCTCTTGATACACGTGCCGCCCGACGGGCTCGGGGCTGGGCCGAGTGTTGGGAGGTCGGGTAGATGGAATATGCTCGAGGTAGTCGTGCCAAAGCTGGCGCAGGACGTCGAAGTCACGCAAACACCGCCTCGGGGTCCTCCGTTGCACAGCGTGGCAGTTGTTGACGACAGACATACTTGCCCAGGAGGCGCTGCTGTCGGTGCCGGTGTCAATGTCGGCAGGTTGGTCAACCCACCTCCGAATCCGCCACTCTCAGCTGGCCTGGTGTTGGTCGGGCGCGAGGTTTCCCATGGTGGAGCAAAGTCTGGTGGCGTGCCAGTTGGGTTTGGACTGCAGTAATATCCAGAGCAGAGATGGCCGCAGTTTGCCGTGCAGAGAGGCGCCGGCGGGCCCGGCTTGTACGTGACGCGAGGACCTTGGGGCGCAGGATTGTTTCCACCCCCGGGCAAGTTGGGAATTGGGCAGGCTGCCTGTCGACTGGAAAGCCCTCTCTTTCCAGAGCTGCCACACTGTTCGAATGGATCGGCAAGGTTCCAGACCATCTTCTCTTTCTGTTCCAAATTTTCTTCATCTTCTGTGAGAGGGAGAGGTCGTGACACTTGCTGGATGATGGCTTTGATGGATTTGGGATCCTCCCCCAGTTCGGGCAGGTTGAGATGCATTCCTCTTATGTAGGCGACGAGACCTGCAACCAGCGGAGCGGCTGCAAAAATGAGCAAAAGGTAAGCAAGCGGCCATGAGCTTTGACAATGACAATGCTCGCGACTTACCAAATGATGATCCAGTAGCGGTGCCTTCTGAGAATTGCGGCGACACAAATACTTCGTCTGGAGGAAGAGGTAGCTCCTCACCTGGGGCCCATGTGTCGCCCGCGTTGCTGTCAACCCACCAGCCTGCATTATTGAGGTAGCCAACAAGAAAGGCCCCGTCCAGCTCCTTGACTAAGATTCCTGGGACAGTTGTAGGGTCATCTTGGCCTTGATTTCCAGCGGCAACAACAAAGGTAATTCCGTAGCTGCGTTCCATGCTCTTCATCAGCATAACTACCAAGGTGTTAGCTGGTGTCTTTTTCACGGAATGTTGATTAGAGCTTTGGCAGTTTCTGATGAAACATCTCGCCACTTACCAATATACTGGGTGAGAGGATCCCTCCTATCCTTCGCAAAGCCACCGGACACATTCACCACGCCTGAGTTCCTAGGTTTCGGCTTTCGCTTCTCTTCTTCTGTGTCTTCATCTGTGAAGTCGTTACAGATGAGCGTAAGAGCTTCCAAGAAGCCCTCTGCACGTAATCCTGGAGGTCCGCGTGGCACAAACACGAGGTTGGCTTTTCTCGCAATGCCCACTTTGGAGCCAACGGCATAGTTTGCTACCAGATGCCCATGCTCGGTTTCGAAGGTGCTGGGCTCGCGCGCCGGACGCCAACTACCCACGGTGAGAGGTTCTGCTTGCTTTATGAAGTCCTGCATTTGGCAGTAAGTATGCTTGGAGGTGACAAAGGGTTAAAAGAAATGAAGTGTAGAGATTCTTTCCATTTGATTCCCAGTCTCGAGATACTTACCGCTGCAACATGTCCCCTCCACCCGCCTTCGATGATGTAGATCGTTTGGCCCTCACCTTCGCTCGAAGCGAATTGGTAGGTATACTTGGCATCATCTGGATTGTGCTCGCCATTCTTTTGGAACCAGTATCTGTTGGGTGGCCAGGAAATTTGAGACAGATGCCAGTAAGCGTCGTTGCCTTCGAATCTCTTTGTTTTGGAGGTACCTGACGCGAGCTGGACAGGTGCTAGTGTGATGTTGTGACTCGAAGGTCGCCGCTCTTGGATTGCTGCAAAGCTTCCATCTTCCAAGTCTTCAAACTCATCTCGCTTGCCCGTTGACGAGGTCGCAGACGGCATTCTATAAGCACGCCCAACCTGGGGTATAGAAGTTAGTGAGTGCATTGCAACCATTAGTGCGACATGGTTTCGCCGACGTACCTCGTTAATTTCGTCAGAATTGAAGTAGTCAAAGGCCAGAGGACCTAGGTTGGTAACGTGAATGAATGCGGTGAAGCCCATTTGTTTCGCTTGAATTATCTCAAAGCCTGTCTTCATTTTCTTTTTCTCGAGAGCTGCATTACGTCGCTCGAGGACGCCTTCGACAATGGCTCGACTTGTGGATGAAAACGGCGCCGTCAAAAGAAGGAAACCATCGGTCCCGTCTTGCTCGTTGCACCAATCCGGCTCGGAACGCTTCACAAGAAGTCGCTTCTCCGGTGTGCGAGTCGCCTCTGGAAGATCCGGGAGCTGCATGGCTCTGCGCGTAAGCTTGCAGGCATTCGCTGTCTTCGTAGCTTCAACGTCTTGGAGATTGCAGCCTGTAATTGTAGCACATCGAGATTTGACCTGCGTGGCTGTGGTCTTCGTTGTGCCAGCGGACACAGACGTAGCGAAGGAGCTGGTTGTAATGCAGAGCGAAGCTTCCGCGGGCGTGCAAGAGGCGGGCTTTGGCGGAGCCTCGATACTCCCACCGGGATGAACACTATTCCCAATCATACCTAATCAGCAATTCAATCATCAATACCAGTAGGGGAGGGGGCTTACGTGATCTTAGGCCAAGGGGGAAGCGGGCCGATGATGTTGATGTTGGGTGGGAACCTCAATGGAGGCGGGGGGCCTCTGCAGATGACAGGTTAGAAGACAATGGGCCTTTGGCTTGGACACGGTGCTGCACTCACGGTCCCCAGATACCGGGCGGAATGATCCATTCCAAACCACCGATATGTATGTCGAGATCATCCCACGTAACGCATATCTGTGTCAGAATGATGTGTTAGAAGACTTATTAGAGTAAGATAAGGTGAAAGATCGAGGACTGACCCAGAAAAACCAAACTTTACACGTGCTCTTGTGCTTGGGGCCTTCGCCGTCGTCATCTTCACCGTTGTCGGGCACGTCGGTCTCGACCGGTACGACCGAAATCACCTCGGGCCATGTACCTGTGGGCTCAGAATTATCATCAGTGTCCCATGTGAACGGTGTCTTGCTTGTGGAAGGGAGTTCGGTTATTATGGGTGGTCCCGCTGGCGGGACTGTGATGATGGGGAAGCCTGATTGCCCCTGGCTTGGATCCTTTGAAGTCCATTGAGCGGGAGGACCTTCTGTTACAGAGGGCCAAGGAGGGATCACGAGGGTCCTAACCTGAGTCAGACCTCCTGGAAGAGTGAAGGTCGTGACAACAGGCTCGATGCTGATGCTGGGCAGAGGTACGATTGTGCTGGAATCAGCTTGGCCAGAGGTGACGTTGACATTATAGTAATCCATCGACTGTGTTACAATGGGCGGAATCTGAATCGTAAGGGTCGTCGTAAGATCTGGCGCGATCACGACAGATGTCGTGTAGGATGGGATTGTGATGGTGGTGGTGGACGGTAGTGCTCTCGGGGGCAACACCAGCTGACAAGGTCCTGTGCATTGAGCGGGAGTGCCGGAATACACTTCGGGGGCCAGAAAAACAACTTCTGGATCATCATCTGGCCTGCAAATGGTTAGACTGATTGAATGGAGGAGATTCTGAAATACTTGCCCTCCTGAGCCAGGAACTTGGAAGTCAATAGACCAAATCATGGTGCCACCAAAACAAAGACCATCAGCAAAGGCCCTCTTTGCTGCAAATGTCTCCTCGTCATCGTATCCAATCCACTGGTCGTCCCAAGTAATCTGCTTCATCATCGAGTCGGCAAGATACTTTGGCTTGATGTTGCGCCTCTTGATCAGCTGCTCAATCTCGACCAAGGACATAACACCTTCGAAGTTAGTGCATGGCGCTGGGTTGCTTGGGCCCGAAAACGGGCAGAGAAGATCGCTGCAGGAAGGGTCTGCAAGCGTGTAGCCGCGGCCGTACATAGCAAGACCGAAGTTGAGCTTTGCGGGATTCAGGCCGTCGAACCAAAGAGGCACGGTATTCTTGGAAATCTCCTGTATATCCGCTTGGCCTCGAACCTTCTTGCCAAGAGCCAGGACATCGGCGTCCCAAGAGCCGTGCAGATCTGTCCAACGTCAGTAATCCATTGACCTCGAGCTTCTTCAAAAAGGACGTACCATATGCCATGAAGCCAAAAAAGTCGACGTAAGGCTCCATTGCCTTTGCATCAAACCACCTAGATGCCACTGTTAGCGAACTTGGAACGCCAACCGAGTACGTAAATCTTGAATCCTCACCTCAGATACCAGTAGTCAGGAGCTAACGTAAGACTGATGCCATAGGCGGTGCCGTACGCAGCTCGCATCTCTTTGACCAGAAGGGCGAGATTTCTGGTATCAGCAAGCTTGTTGCCGCCTCGTTCAGGTGCGCCAGGGTACTCCCAGTCCAGGTCAACTCCTTGGAACCCGTGTGTATCCATGTAGGTCTTGACAGAAGCAATGAAAGCAGCTCTGTTCTCTTTGGATGCCACCATCTCACTCCTATACAACGTTAAAAACGACCAGGCTACGGCATACCTCATCCTTACCAAGTCTTGTGCGTTGCGGCTTCCGGATTGCTCATGTCAAAGCCTCCGATGGCGATCCAAGTCTGCAGCTTTCCGTCTTTGGAGAGGTCCGTAAACTCTTTCATCAGCAGAACATCGTCAGGGTGAGCCGTAGCTATGGTGAACGCGGCTGGGTCAATGAAAGCGAACGAAAAGAAGAGATGGGTGTAGCCGTTCGTGTCAAGCTGCTTCGGCGTGACCCTGTTGCAGAGTCGGGTCCTAGCATTCCATGACTGGTAGTATCCGATGGTTCTTCCTTTGGAGCTTCCACTGCCCTGTGCACAGGAGGGGGAGCCGGTGATTGCGCAAGAGCCATAACCAGCCTGGCATGGCAGTGTTCCGTGAAGAGGATCGGCATTGTGGCAGTAGACGTCGGTGGCTGCACCGGTTAGCACGGGTGCAAGCGTTTGAACCGTTCAACTTACTTCCGCTAAATAGCCGTCAGTATCGCTTCTGAGTCCGGGAACTTTGAATTCGAGAGGGACTTACCACCATCCGGTTGCACTACAGCACAATTTCATGCCACATGGCATCTCGGCATTCTCACTAAACTCGCCACACATTGCGGTCGCATTGCATTGACTCTGGCACCCTGTACCGCAAAAGTCTGGCCCGTAGCCACAGATGTTCTTGGGCCCACAGCAGCTATCCCAGTCAGCACGCGCCGTCAAGAGATACATCAGAACTGTTACCTTCCGTCAACACAAGGACCATCTGTGCAATACAACGGTCCGTCGGCACGGCGCTCAAGGCTATGTGGCTGCCTTGAAGTCAAGTTTGCACTAGACTCGAGCAATGAATCAAACTCCACGTCCTCTGGAGTAGCAACGTGAGGTGCCTTGGCTGGGTTCTGGTGAGCGGGACTGAGCTTGATGGTGTCAATCCATGCTGCGAATTGTTAGCTGCAAAGCAATGATGGCGAAAGGCCTGTGTTCATCATGCCACTCACATTGTTCTTCAGATGCGCGTTTTGCGTTGTTAAGCTGGGTAGGGTACTGGTTGGTTCGACGATAGGCAGAGGTACCGTAGTTGAGAGTCAAGATACAGACAAAGACAAACGAGCCGATAGCCAAGGCTACCAGCCGGCTGGTTCGTGACTGCATGTTTGACAGCTATACAGAATGCCTGGTTGACGCCCTTGCTCGTGTCACTTCGTGTCACTGCACAGTGACACTACCACGGGGCGGAACATACTTATACTGGTTCTCGGGTTACGGATCTTGATCCAACCCGAGCGCATTTCACAAGGCATCGAACTCGGTCATGAGTTTTGCCGCGGACCCCAAGCCCTAGATTTCACCAGCTTCAAATTTAGAAAGGTCATCAGACGCATCTCGTATTGATCCCTGAATTGAAGGATCAGGCCGACTCTCGCCGAAGCTAACAGGCGGCAAATCGAGAATGCAGTCGAAATATCTCGACTCTTGTCAAAGACTTCTAAGTCTAGATGTTCGGGAAAATCTTGGCAAATGTCCTTCGGATGGATGCCTAGGCTAGCGCTGAAAGGGACTGGTTGAATGACCTGAAATGCAACCCCTCAACAAGCCGAAATTCGGGCTGGTCATTGTAGTGCGACTCAGAGACAACATGGGCAAGGGCAATCTTCTCCCCCCACTAAGTGCAGGCGGTTCTCGATCGCGTGGACTGTTGGCCGCACCTTACCTGACAGATTTCGGCACGCTTCTGATTTGCGCGCTCGGAATGCGAGTGGAACTTAATATTGATTTCCAGTAGTGTGTTGCTTCATTAGGCAGTCGACGTTACTTAAAGCTTTTCAGCTTCGGGGCTAGCTATATTCCTCTGCAACCACACAAGCGGGGCTCGAGTCCGAGGATAACCAGGGTTATTATGCTTCTTTGTAGGGCCAACGCTACGGCACAACGTGCAGAATGTTCCTGCCTAGAACACACTTTATTTAGAAGTTCAATGAGTCCGACAAGACTTTGCCATATTAGGAAGGTTACTGTGGTTGAAGGATTTTCGGTATGACCCGATTCTTACATTGGGCTGCGTGGGAGAGCCCCTCAACTATTGAATCGAGGACACTAATTGAACTCCTGAAGTCACGAGCTGCCGCGGTTGGCTCTATCACACTGTGACAGACAGAGAGTGTTGTTATGTGTAGTTGTGTTGATGTACTACACTATATATCCTCTCACCTCAGCTGCTCGTCATCATGGTGTTCAATGACACAACTATCTCGTTCATTGCGCTCATTCATTATTAGCGATGAAGCAGTTTGTTCTTCTCTGGCTGTTGCCAGCTCTTTCATTTGCCCAGTCTACGACGTCTACTACGGATGTTCTGCCACCGTGGCAGACCGGAGTGGAAACTGAGGACGGATCTTGCGGCCCATCCAGTGGCGGACGAGTTTGCACTCCCACGTGGGGTGCGTGTTGTTCTGCTGACGACATCTGTGGCCGATCCAAAATCGCCTGCGGAGACGGCTGGTCAGTCCTCGCCCTATTCAGGATTGATTCTATATCTGCACTGCGCATTATACTGACAGTGAGAACTCTTTAGCCAACCTCTTTATGGCAACTGCAACAGCGCTGCTCCTCCGCCAACAACTTCAACGGTTCCAACAACTCCAGCACCAGGGCCTGGCAGTGCATCTCCGGACGGCTCATGCAGTGGAACGAATCAGTTTACTTGTGCCGGCTCAACCTTCGGTTCTTGCTGCAGCAGTGGCAACTGGTGCGGTGACAGTACCAGTCACTGCGGAGCCGGTTGTCAGAACAAGTTTGGTAACTGCACGGTCATTGCGGACAACATCAGTACCGACGGGAGATGCGGCTCCAACGGCAAGACTTGTCTAGGATCTGCCTTTGGCTCCTGCTGCAGCGAGGGCGGCTGGTGTGGTAGCGAGCAGGCCCATTGCAGTGCTGGCTGCCAGACCGGCTTCGGCAACTGCACCACCAGCGAAGGCTCAACGCCACCTAGCGACGTATCCACTGATGGGAAATGCGGAAGCAATGGGAAGACATGCAAGAACTCAACTTTCGGAACCTGCTGTTCCAGCTCAGGCTTTTGCGGTTCTGAAACGGGGCATTGCGGCAGTGGGTGCCAGAGCGGATTCGGTACCTGCACTGCTGGCAACGACAACGTATCAACCGACGGCTCTTGTGGTAACAATGGGAAGACATGCAAAGGGTCTTCGTTTGGCGAGTGCTGCTCACCTAGCGGATTCTGCGGAGGCACGAAAACCCATTGCGGCCCGGGCTGTCAGTCGACCTTTGGCACTTGCGATGCCTCCTCGAGTAACGTCTCGACGGATGGCACCTGTGGAAAGAATGGCAAGACATGCAAGGGGTCTGGCTTTGGGGACTGTTGTAGTTCCTCGGGATTCTGTGGCTCATCCACCAGCCACTGTTCTGTTGGATGTCAACTGGACTTTGGAACCTGCGATGCCTCTGCTGGCACCATCTCCACAGACGGTACTTGTGGCAAGAATGGCAAGATATGCAAGGGTTCCGGGTTTGGTGACTGCTGCTCATCTTCAGGCTTCTGTGGCAGCTCCAGCGATCATTGTGGAACAGGCTGTCAAACTTCGTTCGGCACTTGTAATGCTGGCTCTGGCAGCATTTCCACCGATGGTTCTTGTGGTAAAAATGGGAGAACATGCAAAGGGTCAACATTCGGCGACTGTTGCAGTTCCTCGGGCTATTGTGGCGGTACGAGCGATCACTGTGGCTCAGGTTGCCAGGCCTCGTTTGGTACGTGCAACAGTGGTTCCGGAAGCATTTCCACGGATGGGTCTTGCGGGAAGAACGGCAAGACCTGCAAGGGATCAGCTTTCGGTGATTGTTGCAGCTCATCTGGGTACTGTGGAGGCACCAGTGACCACTGTGGAACAGGCTGCCAGGGCTCGTTCGGTACATGCAACACTGGCTCGGGCGCAGTATCTACTGATGGAGCTTGTGGTAAGAATGGAAGAATTTGCAAGGGATCAACTTACGGAGACTGCTGCTCTTCTAGTGGCTACTGTGGCAAGTCAACTGATCACTGCGGTGCGGGCTGCCAGTCTGCATTTGGGACATGTAGTAGTGGTTCAGCGGCCATCTCGACTGACGGTGCCTGCTCAACAAACGGCAAGACGTGTAAGGGCTCGACCTTCGGAGATTGCTGTAGCGCTTCGAATTACTGTGGCAAGACGACTGCTCATTGCGGATCTGGATGGTAAGTTATTCCCCATTTCCTGATACATCTGAGAACTAGTACTGATCTTTGAACAGTCAAAAATCATTCGGAACTTGCTCGTAGGGAGCATGAGATGGGATCGAAAGCTGCCACGTGATTGATGTCTGGTTTGTGTTCGTTCATGCGCGCATGGCCTCTGTATCCATGTATTACAATTGTGTACCTACCTTGTATGTTGCACTAGCAGAGGTCTCGGCACTCTCTGGCAAAACCTATCATGGAGAAAAGAAGCACCCTACAAGATATGATTCGCTTAGAATTCAATAATATGGAATCTACCGGCCCGAATACCGATTGCAGCTTATGTAACTGCGTGGCATAACAGTCTACCGGCACCTTGGTGACATTCATAAGGCTGCGGTGCCAGATACCAGTGACAAACCACACCTTTCTCACGTACATGTTCACTAAGTACCCGGTCTCAGGCAGGGCAGCAACCGCCATGGGCCACGGCGCCATTCTCAGGCTGCCTCTTCTTGAGCCTGCCCCGGGACGTCCGCGATCTCATTTGTACGACTTCATTCCGGTTACTAGTACTCGGTAGCAACGACCCGCAACCCAGCGGTGAAGACTGTGCTTGCGACCGCGCCCTGCCTTTCTCCGCGTCTGCCGGTACATCCAGCGTGTTGGAAACTCAGTACTAGCTACCTGGATCCAATCAAAGTCATATCCATCTTGATATTAAGTACCGTTGCGTTGAAGACCTCTCCTGATCCCTTGCATGCATTCTGAGGCACTTCGGGACCAGCTTCGGGACTGGACCCAGGGAAATCCATTGGTGGACATGGGCAGAAAATCACCAGCCCCCCGGCCCCTGAATGCCCCGAACCGACCGGTTCTGGACAGGGGGCGGCCGCGGAGGTGTCCGAATACGGGTGCCCCCTAGCTACTTGCATGTAACCTTCTTCCTATTTAGTGGGGCCATATTGATGGCTCGGTCATTTTCCTGCACGGTTGTTAAGATCCTTGCCACGTGGGTGCCCCATCTAGATTAAGGCCCAGATCTGGGCACTCTAGCAGAGACAACTTTACCTTCAGAATCGTAGTCGGGTTTACCTGGTAGTCCGAGGTTAACGCATATTCTACGGGCTGCAGCGCTTATCCATTGTAAACGGTTCTAACGTGCTTCCTCAGACCCCTCCAAGGTTGTTGATGCCTCGCTAACATTAGGGCGCGTGCTTAAAATCCCCGAGGAACCCAGTCTGGTCGATCTATTACGGAACAACATGAGATAGCATCTCGCCGCCTTGGGTCTGCTAGTGTGAAGTAGTCTTCGTCTGCACGAAGGAACCGGCACTCGCATGCAGGTTACCACCTGCCCTCGTCTGATGTGGCCTTGGCTTGACTTGTTTTCCTTTTTCCTGTAATACCGCCTAGCTGGGCGGCTAGTAGGTTATCCTTGCAGACATTGAGTGTTAAATCCGAAGCGGAAATCACGAGGGCTTAGGCTAGGTCGCATGCTACTGATACCCTGCTCTTCCTGCAGGGTGTCTCGGCGAACAGGCATGCTGTTGCTACCGCACCTATCAACGGCCACTCCCCCAAAGTTTTCCACCAGTTGTTTGCGAGGACTGGGAGCCTCGCGAGGTCAACTCTGTTCCTTGGCCCATTCGGAGCGTTTCCGACTTAGACCTGCATGGGATCCGCCTCTGAGCCAATCTTGCGTTGGATGAAACAAGGGCCCTTAGTCCGTAATTGCAGGTAGGTTCAGTCGTTGAACTTATTGTTCCAAGGCATGACCCGTCCCGAGGCCCCTCGAAAGGAGGTCGCTGTTGGCCAGAAGCAATTGTCGCCTCGCGAGAAGGGGAGGGAAAAGACACACTGAAACGGTTGTATAAAGGGGTCGTTGTCAACCTGCGATTTCTTCCCGAGATTCTTGCTCTGCACTGCGATTTCTCCTACCCCTGCCCAAGGAACCCAAGGAACTCCAGGACACATCTAATCAACAATCGGAAGAACTTTGCAATGTTCTTCTCACCCCGACTCGCCGTCGTCGGCCTGCTGGCAGTTGCCACCTCGGCCTTGACCTTGGAGCCAAGACAGAACGTCGCCCCTGGCCCCGTCTCCGGTGATACTTTCATCCACGACCCGACAATAACCAAAACTCCGAGTGGCACATATCTGGCCGCATTCACGGCCGACGGCGTGGGACTGAAGACGTCCACCGACCGGACCAACTGGAAGGACGCCGGCGCTGCTTTCCCCAACGGTGCCTCATGGACAACCAAGTACACCAACGGCGAGAAGAACCTCTGGGCGCCTGATCTGTCGTACCACAACGGCAAATACTTCCTCTACTATTCCGCCTCGAGCTTCGGAACCAGCAAGTCAGCCATCTTCCTCGCTACGAGTACCACTGGTGCATCCGGCTCGTGGACCAACCAAGGTCTTGTTATCGAGTCCACGGCGAACAGCGGGTACAATGCCATCGACCCCAACCTGATCATCGATGCCGAGGGCAGGTGGTGGATGTCTTTCGGCTCATTCTTCGGCGGCCTTAAGATGGTGGAGCTGTCTAGCAGTACCGGCAAGCTCAAGAACAGCAACATCATTTCGATCGCTACCCGCCCCGACAACTCTGAGAATGCTATCGAAGCGCCCTTCATTACCCGCAATGGCAACTACTACTACCTCTGGGTCTCGTTCGACCGGTGCTGCAAGGGCGCTGACAGTACCTACCGCATCATGGTCGGCCGCTCTACCAGCGTCACTGGCCCCTACGTTGACAAGAGCGGCAAGCAGATGATGCAGGGCGGAGGCACTCGCGTCATGTCCAGCCACGGCTCCGTTCACGGACCCGGCCACAACGCCGTGTTCACCGACAACGACGCCGATGTCCTGGTCTACCACTACTACAACGATGCTGGCACTGCGCAGCTCGGCCTCAACCTCATCCGCTACAGCAGCGGCTGGCCGGTCGTGTACTAAGACGAATCCCCTTTTCGCTCAGCCAATTCAGGAATTGCGCAGAAACGACATTGCAGATGATGGGCTGACGTGCAGCCGAGACCTGTTCACGCGCGCGAAACACAGTTTTCCTCGTGTTTGCACTGGTTTCAGACATTTATTTCGATTGTATCTACTTGCTTCCACTGTATCTACTTATCTCCATTGTATCTACTTCTTTCGACTGTATCTACTTATTCCGGTTGTATATACTTATTTCGATTGTAGTCGCATTTTGCGATTATAGTCAACTACTTACTGTAGAAAGCAATATGAGCATTTTCAAGAGATTTAATGTTTGTACAAGCTCGATGCGGATGGCGGAACTCTCGGGGGCCGACATCGCTTAACTAAAAGAGTGCTCGGGTGCACTCGGGCACTGTTATCAAACACGTCAGGCACTGCCTTCTCAATTGCCGCACATATAACTCAATGATTTAGCCGCTGGACATGGCCAAATCACGTTGCCTTTTTTCATGGAGTCGGTATGTCGTCTAGTCATGACCTGAAAGTTTCGCAAGTATCCAACATCCCTATCCAACATTGCTACTTTACGAATAGTGGGTTAACTCTAGCCCAGGCAGCGGCATGCGCCGCAATAAGCGTTGACGTCTTGTTGCATCCACTGGATACCCTTATTACCCGCATGCAATCCCCAGTCTACAAGACGCAGTACAAGACAGTCAATGGCTCGTTTAATCGGACATTTTTTCGCGGACTCTACCAGGGGTTCGGACCTACGATAATCACTGGGATACCTTCATCAGCGGCGTTTTTCACGATATATGAAAGACTAAAGACAGTTACTCAAGACGCGAAGTCGGCAGGGTATCTTTCCGGCATTCCTCTTCCCATCCTCCATGGACTTAGTAGCGCGGTAGCAGACCTCGTGAGCTGTGCCATCATCAACCCTGCCGAGGTGTTAAAGCAGAATGCGCAGATGCATGGAGGCGATGCCCTTAAGCCTGTCAACTCACGGCAGTCCCCAACGCTTCTCGCTGTAAAACATTTCGCTAGAAATCCGGGGAGGCTATGGGCCGGGTATACTGCTTTGGCGGCAAGTCACCTGCCCGCAACTAGCCTAAGCTTCTGTCTCTATGAGTTGCTAAGAGAAAGGTTTCTTGGAGAGGTTCCGCGCCAGCGACTTGAAGCCAGCGCATCTCGCCAAGTAGCCGTGAGCACATTCAGTGGAGCTCTTGCCGGCGGCTTTGCATGCACGCTCTTCGTGCCCGTTGACGTTGTGAAGACTCGAATGAGGCTTGCTGCTGGGAACACAGTGCCCAGTCACCAGCAAATCCATCAAAGCCCGACGGCAGACCAGAGAGCGAGATTGCCAAATACGATCCGGTCTCGGCCGCGCCTCGGTCCTCTGGATGTGGCGAATGGCATTTTTCGGAAGGAGGGCATTCACGGCTTGTTTAGAGGCGGCACACTGAGTTTCTTGGCATCAGCATTGGGTTGTGGACTCTATCTAGGCTCGTATGAGGCTTGCATTCTGTTCTTGTAATGCCCGAAACTTGGAAGGGAAGTGTTAATCACTGCGTAAAGCACCGTTGTTGTACGATTATGCTAGAAAGGAGGCATCCTACTCAGTTTTATAACACTTCGCATCACTGTCAAACTTGGATCATGCAGAGAGTGGCCCAAATGTGAGTTGTTGCATTGTGATCGGGTTACTATGTAAAGACAACCAATTCTTGAGTCGAAAAGGCTCCTTGATTGCCACTTCCTTTGTATGCTTTGGTCGCACAGGTCAAGGTTCAGCCCTGGGTAAGTCGATCTCAGCTCCCATCTGTTCTTCACCCCAGCCCTCCCGACGATCTCTTGGTATTCTGACAAACGCCAGAGACAGTACTATGGCAACCCCAGCCATCCCGATGCCAAGGTAGAGGCCATTTCTATACCCTCGAGCCAGGTCTTTGCCACTGTTGTTTGTATAATGTTCCACCGTGCCAGCAAAGCCCAACCCAGTTGCTAACCCGTACGATAGAATGGTCCCAATGAGAGATCCTGCAAGCCCCTGTTGATCCCGCCGGACTGTCCCACTGGCGATGAGTTGAGACGCTGTGAAGACGAAATCTGGCCCCAGCGACCCGAGAAGAATTGCAGGAAATGCCTGAGCCCAGTAGGTTTGCTGTACTGGCATTGTTGCCACGAGGAGAAGGGACACGAGTGTCGCCGTGGAACCGATGGCCAAAATATATTGGGCAGCCAAGTGTCGCACTACTTTTGCGCTCAAGAGTGCCGCCCCTGCACCACCTACTGCCAAGGGAGTATACGTGGCGGCGTTAAGAAGCATTGTGTAGCCTCGCAATTCGGCCTGCCATGCAGTCAAATACCAAATGAGCATGCCAAATCCCATGAAAGACACAAAAGATGACACAATCATCATGCTAAACGATGGCGACCTCCAAATATTCATTGGCATGATGGGCTCGGCTGCGAATCTAATCTCCCAGATAACAAAGCCAGCCACATGGAGAATCGACGCAATGAGAAGTGCATAGACGTATGGGACGGACCAGCCGACAAGAGCCGATTGACTGTTCTCGAGTGTGAGATCTCAATACGGACTTGGGGAGAGAGAGTTGACTTACGTCCACACGAAGTTGAAGAGGATCAGGCCGGATACGCCTAGGTATGCTCCAATGTAGTCGACTCTTCCCAGAGGATCCATCAATGAGGGCTCAGCAGGTACAATTATGATAAAGAGACCAAAGATAACACATCCCAGGATAGCCCTATTTTACCCTTGATTAGAGATCCGCATTTCACTTCACGTCGTGAAGATCCAAACTCACAAAAAGAAAAACAGCCACCACCATTGGGTCAGTTGGCCAAACAAACCGGGGAACACACTCCCACCCGCAGCACCAATCGGTGCCATGGCTCCGAACAGCCCAACCGCGATGTTGCGAGCCTTTCCTGGCGGATTTGTTATTGTGAGGAGTGCAACGGCATTTGGAAAAACGAACGCAGCCCCTATGCCGCTTAGTGCACGCATGATACACAACGATATGATGCTGCGCATGAAGCCGGATATGAGATGGAAAATTACCCAGAGTACGCCACCAGCGGCAGCAGTCTTCTTGTGACCGTAGACTGCACCAACACGCCCTCCCATGAGAACAAACGTTCCTTGAGTAAGGCTGTGCCTATAGGTCAGCTCTCAATTATTTGTTTGGGTGGCCGGTCATGTAAACACGTACGGATAAGATGCTATGATCCATATGGCAAAAGCGGGTGACACGCCGAGCTCCTTAGCCATGTTGAGACCGCCGTTGATGCCTGCGCCCAGGGGAATCGTCTGTTGAAATTCAGCTCTAATGCCCACGAGAGAGCTGTCAGTAGGTAATGCTCATACCTGAATGAATTGGCATAGAATGATGCAGGCCGAAGCAGCAGCTTTGCGCCATTTTCCATCAGCTTTATTGACTGATTCACTATGATTTTCATGAGGCCTCGTTGTCGCACTCTTGCGCTCATTGTTGTCTGCCATCTCTGCAAGTCTCAAGCCAGCTTATGCTGTCTGGCAATCTAACTTCTCTCATATGGTAGGCAATTCAAATTTACCGGAAAGGCTGAATGTGGACAACTACCGCGCTCCATATTTCAGTACGATCACTTGGCGGTCGACCCGGTGGTTGGGTAAGCAAAGGAGTACATATGGCTGAATTATATAATTCGGCATAATTGCTTTAACATTTACTAATCATCATGGAGCATAGTTATTCTATTTCAAGATCAAATCGTTGATGAGGAGCGTGAAACTGTCGGGTCGTGCCGAGAAAATGACGAAGCGCGGACAAGTGTTCCATCACCACACGGGGACGTTGACAATTCACTCAATACCCGAACAAAATGTTATTCAGCATGCTAGCTTCATACAAAAGGCGGCGTGCCAGCTAGTGAAACATCTCAATCTCTCACTTCAACTACCTATCCGACGTTATTAGGACTTCAAGTCAACATGGACACTCTCATTCAGAAGCAATTGATCAACTCGCGCTCTTTGCAGTACAATTACTACATATCACCTAGCCTGAACGAATCCACTACAGACCCCGTTCTCGTTCTCTTCCATGGGTTCCCCGATTCAGCCGCTGTATGGGCGCCAGTTGTTACAATTCTCGTTGCAGCTGGCTTCCGGCTCATGATACCAGATTTGCTCGGGTATGCTGGCACGTCCAAGCCGTGGGACGTCTCATTCTTCAATTCCAGCGCTATGGCGAACGACATCATAGAGATACTTGATGACGAGGGTGTCGTGAACTTCGTTTCCGTTGGGCATGACTGGGGTGCTTTCATGGCACACCGGATGTACTTGTGGCACCCTGAGCGCGTCAATGCTCTCGTCGTGGGGGCATACAATTACGAACACGTGGCAAGAACGCCAATCAACATCGACGTGGAGGCCGAAAGATTTGAACAACAACTGGGATGGCCAGTCAAATACTATTACAAGTTTTTCGCCAGTTCCGACGCACCGAGTCTGTTGTCCGGCCGTCCCGAGAGTTTCTATGCTGCTGGGCACGGAGAGAACAACGCCATGAATGAGACCTTTGGCCGACGAAATGGTCTTGTCAACTGGCTCTCTGCTGACAAACGGAGAAAGCTGCAGTCGTATGCCAATGACCCCGCAGCTATGAATGCCGCCAGGGATAACTTTCAGGGCGCCGGATTTACATCGCCCTTGATGTGGTACCGCGCCCTAGTGGAGAACGTACATATGGAGGTGGAGAAGAGCCTCGCGGCCGATGCCGACAATATCCGCGTACCTTTCTTGCATATGGGCGGCTCGAGGGATCCCGTTTGTCCTCCGGCAATCTTTGACAACCCAGAATTGCGCGCTTATTTCTCGGACTTCACCACTGAAGTCTTTGAATGCGGTCACTTCCTCCCGTCCGAAAAGCCCAAGGAGATCGCAGAGACCATGATAGAGTGGTTGAAGTCAAGAGGAATCGCACCACAGTGAATGAAAGCTCGAATTACCTTGAAAAGGGTAGATGTGTAGAGTAGCAGGCCGCCAAGGAGACATCGACGTCTACACCCATGGATGATATCTTGATTTGTGAACAGCCCCACTCAAGAAAGCAATACAAATTTCTGTGCATTTTTGCGTTCAAATAAGCCTCGGCTCTCATTATATAATTTTACCGTTTGTGCCCCAGGTCTGACTTTGCAAACGTTTGTTTACTAATCGCAAAATCGACTTCGATATGACGGTCCTGTGCGGCTTTGGTAAGAGGCATTTGTCATCAGCTCACGCCCTAAACTTGTCATTTCCGCAATCAGAGTACACGTATCTTACATAAACCAACCATGATACGTTGGCACGTTGACTGTGGAATCCCAGACTCCGATTAGCCTGTCCAAGGACCATGCTGAGCACAATCTGACATAGTACCTTTGTAGTTCAATGCGCTCAATGAGTGAGATGGACAGCGAAAAGAACACTATCTCTGCACACCACTCTCAAACAGGAAGGCGAGGCCGCCCACGGAAAGAGCCATCGAAGAGCATGCAGCTGAATGTAAGTTTGCTACATCGGCCTCCACCTGAAAGAAAGCCTTCCGAGACTAGTCTGGATAGAGTCGCCGTGAAAGGAACCGCATTGCCCAGAATACCTTTCGCCTTCGACAAAAGGCTACAGAAAAGGAAAGACAAAAAGAGGTTGAGCAGCTCGAGGGAATGATCGACCATGTTGTGTCAACATTCTCTAGCTTCGCCGAAAGTGTGGTAGAGTCATCATGGGCTCGAAGGGACACAGAGTTGATTGATAAACTGCGGCACTCAATGCAGAGCATTCGCACTATCCTCAGCTATGATGGTGGAGTGCCACCGCCTGATATACCGCGACGAGATGCATCGGGAGACTTTATCAGTGCTCCACAGAAAGAAATGCCGTCGGGCGACTTGAACGACGAAATGATGCAGCATGATCTGAGAGGCCTCGAGGCTGATGCACCAACTAAGTGGCAGGGGAGGAAGTACGCGGAGGCACCAAAAGTTGCAGAAGATGGCTTCCATATGAACCACGCGCACTTCATTGCGAATCATCACTTGAACCATCCTGACGAGCAGCCTGCCCATGCAGACATCGGAGGGAACATATTCGGTAACGGCTGGATGATGCTTTTGCCGCCGATGGCGAATATTTCAAGCCATGAATTTTCCCAACGAAAGGCCCTCGACAGCCCTTTTAGCCTGCAGGTTGCGCTTACAGCTTTGAGAGCTGGATACGACGCCCTTCTTGAGACTAAAGATATATCTCAGGCGGCAATTCAGCAAACGTTTGGACACGTGTTACAGTTCCGTACTCGGGAGGAAATACTCTTCAATCTTCGATGGTATCTCGGACCGGGGATCGGTGAGATTGATCAAGTGGCTTTAGTTTCATTCAACGATCGTTCGGCTTCCCAATTCGAGAAGCACATACTACGAAACTACATTGCAGATGAACAAACCGAGGGGGAATCAAGAGGCAATGGAAACCCCAATGAAGACGAGGAGCAACCGGTATGCAATGCCAACGATGTCGCGAAATGGATACGGCAACGAACGGTGAAGGAGGTGGACGATGACACTCTGGAGCTGAACCTGAATCCTATCTCAGCCAAGTCAAAAGCTGTCAAGGAAGCCGCTACGTACTTGAGCCACGGCCTGCTTCGACTTCCGGACTCTTCATCCGTTGAATCGGGCGATGAGGATGCTTGGATGAAACGATCTGTCTTCATATCGAAATCACTGTTTCTGAGAGCCATATCCAATGTTGCCTTTTGTCTCTATCTTGGGCCTGCGTTTGGGAAACTGAAGCTAGAGGATGTGGTAAAAGTGTCTATGGTCACATCTTGAAGTAGCTTTCGCCTGGTGGGAATTCGTTCCTAGATTACCTTACGCAAGGATTGCATGTAACTTCTAGGGACTACCAACAATCATTTTTCACCTTCAAAGCAGCCAAATATATATCAATGTCATGTCTCCAGTGGTCCTAGCCTGCCTATGGTCATCATTTTGGCGACTTCCCAGTAATGGATTAATCGAGCGAACCGGAACAGGTGGAACGGGAGACTTTGGGTTGACAAAGTTCAGGCCCAATGCAAGCTAATGAGGCTGGAAAATTTGAAGAACTTCAATTTCCGTTGGTTCACGCAGTGCGGTGATTGTTGTGGTGGTCAGCCCCGCCAAGGATCTGTACGCCTAGGTGCTAAGAACATCACAAGGTGTGTGTGTTAGCCTACTGGGCCAAGCCAATGTCTTGAATTCTTTCAATGTCACTGGACGCCACAAATCAAAGAACGCTACGGCTGAGAAGTGCCTCTCCGTCGAACCTCGGCGAAACCGCCTTTACTTAATGCTCATTTCGCAGTTTGGCGGACGTTCTTTCCACCTCACCTTCGATCTACTTCGGACACTTCCCCTAGCATGGACGGGATGAAAGAGCCCATCCAGCACGTTCCTCCCCCCTGGGACTTGAAAGGGACGTCCTACTTCTTCATGTTCTGGATTCCATCATCGCAGGCGAAGGAGCTTCCAACAGACATTGCATTTTCCCCACTTGAGGCCCAGTCATCTTTCGCGCGCGCCTCGGACTCAGGATCGCCACAGGGAGGGATCGGCACCATCCAGATCCATAGATACGCTTTTAGCCCCGTGGGTCCTTACGATGAGTTCATCTTATCAACTGGAGAGTACTCTTATCAGGTAGAGGAAAATAATAAGCGGAAGGAGAAGCGGAACACGCGAATCACTCGTATCTACGTGTCACAGAAGACGACATGCTGGAATGGTCGCAAAGGTGGGATCTTTCTTTTGCTAGCTAACAGAGTGTGGATACTAAGCCGATATAGATTGGAGCATCCCAAAGCATCTTGCTCGTTTTGAGTTCAACGAAGTGGCTGGTGGTGGTACAGAGATCAAGATCTTCCCACACGATACCACGGGCGACGTTGCGGAGGCAGTGGCCGACAAGAAGCCTTTTTTCCGTACTGTGTACAAGCCGGTCAACTACTTACCGAGCTTTCCACTGACGACGTCGCTGGTCAAGTACCTCGGAGTTGACTTGACCCTCGTACAGCCTCCTTTGCCAGAGGGCAATGGCAGCCAGGGGGAGCTCGTCGGTACCGACCGATGGTGCAAGTTCTTTCCAACAATTTCAAGCTCAAAGACGGAGGTTGGCTGGTTTGACATGAGACAAGAAGAGGATGCAAAGGAGGCGAACTTCTGGCCGGGCCTCGGGAGATGGAGGCTCGGGATGATGATGAAAAATTCCGACATCTCATTTGGGGACATGCAGTATTGGGATACGCCGCGATCGGCGCAATGACGGAGTTATTATTATTGAAATCGTGTTGTTCCTCCGACTAATAACGAGTACACATAATTCTTTGTATCTTTCCGTTGTGAACATGCCAAGATGCAGCTCAAACACGATCAAGCTGCTCCACCAACTTCTCGTCCTTGGAGACAGCCGCAGCAGCTCCCTCCGAATCCTGCATG